ATAAATAAATAAATGTGTGCAAATGTCAATAGTTAAGATTTTGAAATGGGGAGATGCACGTTCAAATCCCTACCCTGACCATGAAGATCAGTGAGTGACTTTGGACTGGGAGCTATTTCTTATCCTGGTCTATTTCATGTCTTTGCTGGGTTTTTACTATGGGCTGCATAGTTCAATGGTAAAACATTAAGTGTTCGGCAAAAGATTCCAGCTTCCACCCCAGCATCTCTAGGCTGACCGATAGGAAAAAAGTGCTGAAACTCTGAGATGCTGTTGCTGGTCAGAGAGATCAGTAGTGAACCAAAGAGTTTCAGGATCTGACTCAGTGTAAATGCTGGCTTCTACATTTTCCATGGAATATTTATGGAGAGTTTATTATAACAGGAAGAAAGAAGCCATCTAGTCTGGTAGAGGGATGTTTTTCTTCCTGCTGTTTGCCATCTGAGAATACCTTTTCTCATTGTGGCTACATGCATTCTGCAGGAAGTGGAGTGCCTAAAAGATTTAATTTGACCCCAGTTAGCTCAACCTAGTGAGTTTACTAAATTATCACCGCAATTCCCAGAGGGAGGACTCAGGCTCTCACCCTCCCCACCCCGCCAAGCAGGAACATATCTGTTTCAAACAAACACCAAATGGAGAGTTGTTGGTACACACATGGTCTGTACTTTGGAGAACTAGGTTGTGACACTCATTCCACAGCTGCTTAAACTGTAACCATAAAACAGCAGACTTCCATTTAAGAGACAAACCTGGCAAAACTCATCTTGTCACAGACTGCTAGATGTAACATCTAAGAGCAACTTTCCTGGCAAAATACATCTTGTCATATACTTTGGACTTTAAGTTCTTCACACTGGTTACAAACCTGATGAAGTTTTAATCCACGAAGTTTTAATCCACGAAAGCTTGTTTATTGGATGACCTTTTTAGTGGTCTATAAAGGTATAGCCTGTTTTTGCATTTGTATTTTATTTTGTTTGGACCACATGACTACCCTTTACTTCAACTGAAGATTTTAAGGATATGCTATATAAAAGTCCATATTTGACATTTTAATGCCTTAACCTCTGCTCAGTTGGTGTGCGTTTTCGTGAGTTTTCATGACACCGTGGATTTCTAATATGGGTTGAAGCTCTGTGAATGTTGTTGGCATTTCAAAAGACACTAGATGGCAGTGAGGTTTCAGAAATAAGAATTAACACTGAAAGGGTAGATGTATAAAGAGGCAAACTAAACTCACAGAAAACAAACTGTGAGTTGAGCTGATTTATTCCCAAAGAATAAGATTTCAGTCTTTGGTGTGATCATATATACTTGTTTGGAAGCAAGGGCCATTGAATTCAATGAGACTTATGTCTAAGTCAATTAGGTACTTGCCTTCTCCAGGTTTATCTGGGGATATTATTTATTTCACTGACTATTATGGCGTGACACAAATTCTACAGAGTGCCATCTTTAGCTTTACAGAAACAGAATGTTTAAAAGAAGTAAAGACTAAAAACCCCACAATTATCTTTTCAGAAAATTTGACCAAAAATGTTTTCCTAACTTCCCCCACCCTCTAAAACCAGTAGGCCTGTTGGGTCATTTCCTCTTTTGGTATCCCCCATTCTAGAGCTAGACCCAACCCAATATGTTTTGCCACCTGAGACACAGATCAAAATAGCATTCGCTCTTTCATTCCATATACAATTGTGTACATATAATGCTCTACCATGCCTGAGGACAGCAGGCTCAGTTAGGGGGCACAGAAAAAATAGTGTGATACCTGAATGCCTCTGCCCTCTAAAAAAGAGCAATGGCTGGGGGCTCAGAAGAAACACCAAGATTACTTGCTGTCCCTCCCCCAGCATTGAAGTAGTTGCCACAATCTGCCTAATGGTAGGTTTGGCCTTGTCTAGAGGTAAAGAATTTTGCCAATGTGATACTACACTATTTGCATGTTTCAGTCCCCATACCCTGGCAGCAACTTCCTGTCTTCATCCATCACATCCAACAGCCACTGCCATGAAGCTTCTCCCTGTTGTGTGAAGGATTTCCTGACCAGTCCCAAATGTTTCCAGGTCAGGAAAACAAACTCTCCAAACAAAAGGAAATAGAGTCTAGTACAAATAATTGCTGTCTATCATCACACCCACATGAGTGTAGTAAATGGCTGTGCAATAAGAGTTAGGGTGAGAGGTTGTGATGGTCTCAAGATCTGAACTTCAGTTGGTCTGCGAGGGGGGATGTGGTGATCATCCTATAACCCCATTCTCCTAAATTTCTCTTTTAAAAAATTGAAAGCACACCATTATGAGATATACAGTATATCACGGAAGTGAGTACACCCCCTCACATTTCATAAATATTTTAGTATATATTTTCATGTAACAACACTGAAGAAATGACACTTGGCTACAATGTAAAGCAATGAGTATACAGCTTGTATAACAGTGTGAATGCGCTGTCCCCCTGTTATACAAGCTGTACACTCACTTCTGTGATATATTGTACCTTCTTCACACTTGTTTAATATGAAACAAAAAGAGGCTTGTTGCTTCCTTTCCAACATTGACTGCATTTTCACACCTAAGTGTTAAGCTGCCATTTACTTTGTTATGTATGGTATTTATGCTGAGAGTGGGAAGCACTGGTTGAAATGCTATGAAACTGATATTATTAAAATTATCTCACTTGCCTGTATTCTTACAGCCTGAAAGAAATGGAATAATAATAAAGAAATGGAGTAGCTAACTTTTTTTACTTTACTTTTATTAGATTTTTAAATCTTGTCACTCCTGAGGGAACCATTTTGTGGTACCCTTATTGGTAAACAGTGTTTTTCCCCCTTTTTGGTGAATGGACCATGTCAACTCACACAGAGATCCTTCACCAGTGGCTGCTCTGCACAGCTGCCACAGCTGTGCTGATCTCACCAGATGCAGAGGGAGTAGCTGTCTCCATGGGTCCTATGCAGAGAGTTTTCTGTGTTACAGCTGCAATTCATTACAAAACCACAATATTTGAATCAGTGCTTTTACTGCTAAGTGGCCTGAATGTTACAGCTGGAATTTTTGCAGGTCTTGCAGTTTTCATACTCACATGTGGCATCTCTTGTTTTAAAAAGGAGAAAGCTCTAAAAATGGTTTAAAGGGGGATGGATAAGTTGTCAAAGCTACTTTCCCACTCAGGGCTTTTTGTGCCAGTAGCAGGAGCCTGATGTATAATCTGAAATCTGCATGGTGCCTAATAGAACAAGGAGAGGAAGCCTGCTTTGGTCTGAAAACTGACTTGGCCCCAGGGAGGACTGGAGAGGCAACATGGCAGCAGTAGCTAGGCCAGTTGCCCAAAGTAAACAAAGCTGCTGTCAAAAGTATTTTTTTCCTACCCTCTATATTGTTCAAAATTTAGCTAGTACCCATTTTAAAGATGGGGTATGTCACACCAGGACAATGTAAAACACCATGTTTATAGAGATAGTATATGATGTCTGTCATTTGCCAAAGTGGGTGAATTCACAAACATATAAGCATATGCTGTGTTGCTTTTCAAGGTCTTGCATGAAAAAAAAATCCAATCATAAATAGTTCCAAATTTTTCCAAAGACTGCATCAAGAAATGCCATATTCCATGACTGGAACACAGAATTATTAAATTGTGTTACACTCAGCCTACTTTGGTTGTGGTACCACAATCAAGGCTTTAGAATGTGTTATCTGGGTCAAGAAATGTTTTAACAAACTACATTCTAATAATTATGATTTTATTATCCATAGATATACAACAATTCATGTAGCCCAATATAAGATAGCTACTTTTGCATGCACTCCCTGCCCCCACTTCCCAATATGATGACCATTCACTTCAACAGATTTAGATCTGCCTTCATCCAGTCAGAGTGATCTTAAAACCCAGCCCAGCCAAAGTCACACAGCTCCCTGGACTCAAAATATGTTAAATGTGCATATCTCAGAACTGGATGCCTGTGATTACAGATGTCTATGAATGTAGATCATACAGCGTTCTATTTTTTCAGGGAGCCTACAGACATGAAGGCTATCACACACTGGGTTGTCCTTCTCAATTATACATGCTCAAAACACAAAGAAGGAGGGCAGTTTAGGTGGAACCAACTGTGTGTCTCCAGTACCTCTTTAATTGTGTGAAGCAATTATAGTGGTGATGGGACCTAGGTTTGACGTTATCATATGGAAATTATTTTTGCCTAAGAGTCAAAAGAACATCAACAGACATTACAGCCATGGTTTGACTTTCAGCTATATTTCAGAAACTAGAGGACACGGTGCTTCATCCCAGAGCAAGCCATGATGATAAAGCTTTGACTGTGAGAGGTGAAGGACAGATTGCTGCACCCACAACTATCCCAGCCAGGATTCGACAGATCATCACACAGAGTTTGTCTGAGCCGTCATCCCAAGGTACTGCCTTGTACTGGATAGAGCTACACAGCATATGTCATTACATAACTGGGGACAGAACAGGAATACAGGAGCAGATGCAGGAAAACAGGAAATTGAGCCCCTGGGAGACCAGAGGCTTTCAAGGGTGGCTTGTTATTAGATGTAAAGTTGTATTGGACATATCTGTCCGAAAACCTAGTCACTACCTTTATGATTGAAGTTCTCTCTTCTAATGTGCAGTTAGCAGTCTGACTTTTTCACAGTGCTACAGAAAATCAACAACTTCTGTCCTGTTTGGATGCTGTATAGCTGGTTTATCTTTCAGGCAGAATTGCACTATAATTCTCCTACAGTATGTTCAAGGAATAGGTTTTCTTTTGGGGGCAGGGGAATCATTGCTTCATCTACATTCCTAAAGGATATCATTGATTCTTTAATTTACAAAATCATAGTGGGAGAGAGTTCCCGAATGTTTTGACTCTCACCTGCAACCAACAGTGTCAAGTACTGATCAATTAGAAAATAAGGGGAAATTATAGAGTCCAGGCAGCTAGAAGACAAAAGAAAATAATTCGCCCTTGTTTTCATATATGTACAGAAATGTTAAGCAACTTGTAAGGCAGCACTCAACTTGTCTGGGCCAGAGCTGGAATGAGTCCAAGTGTCCAAGTTCCATGTGGAAATTCATCATCCTCTCTGTAATCGCCAGGCTGGTGTGACATTAAGAAGCCTTCTCCAGGCAGCTCCCCACGTACCTTCTTTATTCCACAGTTGCATTTCTGGTGTGACATCAGTTAAGCTGGGATTCTATTCCTGGAGAAGGTGTTTTAAGACCTAAAAAGTGGCCTTGGAGGATAAGTAGTAAGAGATAGTATCTAAAATTTAATAGTAAGTTGCAACTAGAGTAGGCCCATTCAATCAATGGGAATTTAGTGCATCAACTCTTGTGCAAATTTAATTGATTCAATAGTCTACTCTAGTTGTGACTTACTTTTGGATTTCAGTCAGTAATTCATTTGTACCGATGTGTTGCTAAAGTTAGACCTCTTATCTCTATGTTAGCACCCTTTCTAAGTAATGCTATCTCAATATTAAAGGAAAGAAAGAAGGCACTGCTTTGTAGACTAAAGCAGTAATCTTTCAATGGAAAATGCTTTCACAAAGTTCTTTCTGAAAAGAATCCTATTATAGAATTATTTTTCTGCAATAGACAGAAGTGTTACACATGGCAGAAAAGTTTTTACACTCAATTTATATTCTAGTTATTTCCCCAGAAGTACATACTAAAAATGATAGAATGATTTCAGTATGAATCCAAGGCAGACATTTCAATCACAGTAATCCAAAAATCTTAAAAGATGATGCTGTTAAGGTGCTACACTTAATATGCCAGCAAATTTGGAAAACTCAGCAGTGGCCAGAGGATTGGAAAAGATCAGTCTACATCCCAATCCCAAAGAAGGGCAGTGCCAAAGAAGGCTCCAACTATCATCCAATTGCACTCATTTCACATGCTAGCAAGGTTATGCTCAAAATCCTCCAAGGTAGGCTTCAGCAGCATGTGGACCGAGAACTCCCAGAATTACAAGCTGGATTTCAAAGGGGCAGAGGAACTAGAGACCAAATTGCTAACATGCGCTGGATTATGGAGAAAGCTGGAGAGTTCCAGAAAAACATCTACTTCTGCTTCATTGACTATGCAAAAGCCTTTGACTGTGTGGACCACAACAAACTATAGCAAGTTCTTAAAGAAATGGGAGTGCCTGACCACCTTATCTATCTCCTGAGAAATCTATACGTAGAACAGGAAGATGTTAATTAAAGTTGTCTGTCTTACAGCTAATTTCTCCTTCTATCACTGTTCCCAGCTTTGACAGGAACAGCTCTTTCAGTCAATATGCAAGAAGAAAACTGCCTTTTGCAGAAAGAGCTCTCACGCCTTGAGGACCTGTTGGCCTACACTCGTGCAGAGAAGGATGAGCTGGCTAGCAAATACCATGCCGTTAATGAGAGGGTAAGATCAGAATTACAACCACATTTTAAAAACTGACATTTGTGTTGAGTCATCCTGGGCAGTGCTTGCGTCTTTCAGAATATAAAAGCAACAAAGTATTCCATGACAAAATGAATATCTAACAATCTTTCTTGTAGATGTTTTAGATAAGAAAGTCGTATGACTAACAGTGGGTGGTGACTGAGGCTAGGAGGTTTACTAGTGAATTGACAGAAACCTTACATTGCCAAGACAAACCTTGAAGGTGTATATTTTTTATAAAGTCCTCACAGTGTGAGCTATCCCTGTGCATTGCATGTGACATGGCCAGATACGTCAGCCTGCCCCAAATGTGGCCCCTTTCATGTGCTGGCTGGTGGTGATGGGCATTGTTGTCCCTCACATCTGGAGAACACCAAGTTGGGAAGGGCTGATATCTATCTTACAAACAACTAGGGGTTGTGGTACCTCAGGTTTAAGAAACTTTAGGATTACAAAGGAAGAATGAATAGAATGTCAGCTACAAGAAGACAACATTTCTAACTTCAGCTAGTATAAGAAAATCAGCAAAAGCATCAGGCTTCTTTTCAATGGTATGGATCCTGTGATGGTTGGAAAACTACCACCCCAGCCCATTTTCTGATATAGTCTAATTTTGTAGGGCAAAGTCTGTTGATACAGAAGATGAAATCCATAAATATGACTTAAACCACCCAAGGCTGATGATGTCATCAGCTATGGCAGGTTTTTGGATATTAAAAATGTATGCCCTCCCCCAAATTCCCAAGGTTCCTTTGGAATCCTATTTGTCACGGGGAACTCATTTGTGGCTGCAAGATAGGATAAAGTCTCTAATTTCTGAAATCACTGCCAGTGGTAAACTCATCCCACTGATGATTTTCAGAAATTAAAGACTCCCTCCCTCATCCTGCAGCACCTAACGGTTTTCCCAGGAGGAAGGGGTTCACAAAGGAGCCTCGGTGCCTTTGGGGAGCAGAACAATTTGAATTTTTTAATATAAAAAAGTTGCAGCTGATGATGACAAAGAGTTCCAGAAAAATTCAAGAAACAGGATTTCAGCCAGTGGTTTTTCTCTCATCAGTTTTTCTATATTTTGCACAAATTGTATCTGGAAAAATTAATGTCTTTTCCCATTGTAAGGCTAAAGATACATATACAGAAAGACACATATATAAAGGAATTACACAAGGATAGGCTGATTGGCCAGAAAGATGCAAATAAGCTATCAATGGGTTAAGAAAACCATTTTGCTCTGTGTGGAAAGGAGACTCCTCCATCAGCAGAAATAAAAAGCTGTATATACTGTATGACTCACTCTAGCAAAGTTCTCCCCTGAGAAGTTTGTATGTGTTCTGTATTCCTCTGCCCACCCACCGACTCCTCTCTTTATATATGGTAAGAGGTGGCCTCTAGATTCTATATCTGCTATCTGGGAAACAACATATTTTTGCCAGAGCAACTGAAGACGGTAGAAGCTCCAAGAAAACTGTATCAGCTTCAGAACTTGCATAGTAAATTCCTTCCACTCGTTGTACGGCTAAGTTGCTTCTGAAGTATGACAACCTTGTTAAGGTCTTCAAGGTTTATGAGATGTTTAAGGAGTGATTTTACCATTGCCATCATGCCAGTTAGTTTCCATTACTGAATGGAGATTTGAACCCAGATCTCCAAAGTTCTACTCTAACACTTTGCTATACCACTCTGTAGTGTAGTGGAGGAATCAGGAATAAACATGAAACCTATTGTCCTTTCTAGCCAGCATAATTTAGCAGCATTTAGGCAGTGCAATGGGCTTCTACATGCTTTCTTCTTTGGACTTCTGCTATACCACTCTGCAGTGGTCCAACAATTGTAGTGGGGAATCAGGAAAAAACATGAAACATATTGTCCTTTCTAGCCGGCATAATTTAGCAGCATTTAGGCAGTGCAGTGGGCTTCTACATGCTTTCTTCTTTGGACTTGCTGTGCCCGTCAACATAAGCTCAGCAACAGCCATGATTAATTTTTTCTAATAAACTCTTAAAATGTAATTACTGTATTTCATTTGAATTATTTGCCAGACATGTGTTTTCCCTGTTCTTTTGAAAATGTGTGTTCTTAAGAGTTGCCAGTCATAGGTCTTCCCTGTAGAGCCTGCATTTGGGCCACTCTTGCTGCATTGTGTTTCCCATGACAGAGAGGGTGAGCATGTTATTTCTAGGAGCAGAATATATAAACATTTAAATAAGCATCATGTGTTGACATCACTGCACAGAAGAGGGTAATTGTTCTTTTTTAAAAAGTGTTTCTTATGAACATCGAAATCAAATGGCAGAGCAGCTTTTAAATCCAATCAGTCAGCCTGCAATCCACTACAGCATTGTCCCTTTGAAGGAGAACAACCAAGAATCACATTCTGGTGTGCAAATGGGGAGAGATTATGATGTGCAAACATAACCCATTGAGATTTTCTCAGGCGTGCTAGAGTGGACAGGATGTTTAGCCCTGATTTCACATGCCGCTACTTTCTGGAGAGGCTCCAGTTGCAGCTGGTTATAGTGTTACACTGTGTAGCCTCTTTCTCCACATAAATACATGACATTTGGGTTGGTGCTTGAAGAGTATGGGGTTCATTCTTGGCTAGACAAATGTTCCCATCCAGAAGAGCATAAATAATTGTAAGTCAAACAATCCCTCATTCCAGTCCTCATGGCAAGCACAGAGTTCCAGGTCTGACTTAGCATCGAACATTAACAAAAGTTATTCCAGCAAACTGGGACCACTGCCCTCCACCCAACTGCTCACTGTAACTGAATGGCACTAATAGAATGAATGATACTGGGAAAGCAGAAGCAGGCAGGATGAATGGGTGAGGTCTTGATTCATGCAGCCTTTGAATTCCATTTCCTCTTCCTGTCATAGTTGCGGAGTGCCTTTAGTTACAACAGGTTTATCCTTATCCTCTCATATTTGTGCTTTTACTTTAGAAACCATAGCTTAGAGAAAATATTTATTTATTTATTTATTTATTTATTTATTTATTTATTTATTTATTTATTTATTTATTTATTT